ATCGTGGTCTGCGCGGCTAATTCGGCTTCAGCTTCGGCCGCAGCTTGTTGCGCACGATCAGCGGTAACTTGCGCAGCGTTCAAAGCCGCCGTGATCACCTGCACCTGGTGCATGGCTTGCTTAGCCGCGTTCTTGGCCGCATTCGCGGATCTTTCCGCTTGCTGCAGCTGCAGAGCCTCATTGTCCACCGCTACGTGCGCGTCTCTAGACTGTTGCTCCAATCCTTGGACGACGATCTGCTTTCCGGTCAACGCCGCGGCTGCGGTAGCTGCCGATTGCGAGGCAGCCTGAGCCAAAGTATTTTTAGCTACGTACGCCGCCTGTCCAGCCGCGGACTCCTGGTTGCTCAACTGGGTGTGAGCTTGCTCCGCCGCGCCCTTCGCGATATTCGCCAAGGGGCCGCCCACGCTGTATCCCGGCTGGAGAACTTTCTGTTGAGGTGGAAGTAGAATGGAACCGGTTCCGGGTTCACCGAGCGATAGCTCGTAATCGTAACTCTCGCGAGACTGCTTCTTTGTCAGTCCGCTTTGCACTAGACAAACGCACAATAATAGGAAGAGCCCCCTCATCCTTGAGATATTAAGCTTGGAACCTTTGCCTGTAACAAAATTCAGTTTCGCAGTCGTTTTACTTTCACGAGATGGATTTTTTAATGTTTAAAACAGGTTCGAAAATTGCGAAGTGAAAGTGTCGCTAACTGTTTTACCTATTGTATCGCAAGGAGTATCAAGGGTACAAATTCCAGTTTAATCGGATCAGAACTCGAGGCATTGAGAATAAAACAGAGCTTTATCTAGAATCTAGAATGCGATTAGAGCGATGATATACATAAAGAATTATTCAAATAGGAATAAAACCATTTCTCGAGAGAGAACGGAGTGCGTTTGCTTTGAAATTGGTGCATTCCAGGGTTACATGCGATCGCGCGTAGGAATATATCTTTTTTATTAGCTATGCAAACTCTTGCCTTTCACATTTTAGCGTATATTAGTCATCTGAGATAGGGCAGTATCAGCTGCACGCAATCGAACAAAGAAATACGGCTTCGCCGAGGAAAAGAAAATTCTCCGATGCAATTAACCGCTCGTATTCTTTTACGAAATCTAGGGTCCGAGTTATATCATTTATGACGCACGTTACATACCACTTTTTCTATCGCTACTCTGTCGCAATTTAGATCGGTTCAAAATCAAGTGTCCTGTTCCGTCACGCTCTAAAAAGCGGCATTACGCACGTACTTGCAAGGAATGTATGTCATCTAAATAAATGCATAATTGAATGAAATTACAACCCATGAACACCTTTTCGACAGCTTAAATTGCACTTCGAACGCGTGCAAAATTCAATTGCCAAGAATCAGATGTATTTTTAAAAACATTTTTATTACGCAGGCAGTACGTAGATATTTATAATGCAATAATTATATTTGACAAGATATTAAATTAAGGAAGAGTTTAGAATTTCCAAAGTATAATCCAATTAAGAGGAAAGGGAAGATGTACACTAGTACTTTCACAGGAGACACGATTTTGAACAGACACATGCTTGTCAGAGTTTTCATTGTTAACTAATTATATGTAATACTCACGAATTGAAAAACAGATAAAACGTTTAAACAATCGGGTTGCGGGAACAACTAAGGACTGATACCGCTCACCCGATTATCCTTCCTCTTATAGGTTTGCATTAGGTCGGTCGTGGAAGGGAGGGACTTTTCTC